ACCAAGTCACTCAAAACTGTCAACTTTGTGCCAAGACCTGTTCTCAGGGACATTTACCACCTCCTTCTTTCCCAGCCCACCAACTTCGTGGACATACTCCAGGTGAAGACTGGCAGATAGACTTCACACATATGCTTCACCACAAAACACATAGATATCTTCTCACTCTTGTCTGTAAGGTCTCAGGGTGGACAGAGGCCTTCTCCACTGCTCGAGAAGCCACTGGTGTAGTCTCCAACGTTCTTGTACAGGATATTATCCCTAGATTTGTACTACCTCAGACTATCCAGTCACATTATGATCTGACATTTATCTCCCAAAGCACTCAGCACGTCACTCTGAGTCTTGGCAGTCCTTGGCATTTACACAGACCATATCACCCACAGTCCTTGGGTAAAGTACAAAGGGCTAATGGACTTTTAAAAACTCACCTCACAAAACTAATCTTAGCACTGCACCTCCCTTGGCCTCAACTCCTTCCTTCAGCTCTAACTAAACTCAGGACACTTCCCTGAGTACCCACTTTCATAAGTCCATTTAAGCTCATGTATGGTACATAATTTCTCCTTCACAACTTTCCCACCTCAAGCAATTTCCCCCCCTTGCCTGTATATATTGGACTATATCCAATCTTGTTCTTTCTTTATTACCTGCTGGGAAAACATGCTGACCTCTGCATTCCACAGCCAGTAGATGCCATACCGCCAAAGCCCCTAAACTCCTGGAGACTTAATATATCTAAAATCTTCTAAGCCTGCTGGATTAACACCAAAGTGGTCAAGACCCCACCTAGTCATCCTTACAACACCCACGGTGATCAAAGTTGCTGGCCTTCAGTCCTGGTTGCGTGTTACTCAAGATAAGCAGTGCCCTAATAGCCAGAACACCTCATACCCTAAACACTCATCTTCACACTGGTCTTCAGAGTGGTCTTCACAACTACTGTCCCCCACTCTTCTCTGCCTCACCAAAGTCCCTGACGAACTTCAGAGGTAACTCATGTATTGCTATCATGTCTGCTTCCTGATACCCTTTGTCTTGCTGAACCTTGGGTTCACTACTGGACTTTGGACAATTGGTCTACAGGACTTTCAAGCTCCACAAAGGATAGCTTTTACACTTTTCTATGGAATAACAGTCTTTGGACTCTCCACTCTTCTTTGTCTGTTCTAAAACCTCACAAACATGGCCTGTTTGTTCACCCTCACACTTACTTACCACTTCCCTCACTCTCTGGCCCAGCTCTGAGACCAACACCAGCCTCCACTTATACCTTTACCCTTAATTTGCCTGATCAGGGAGTGATCTCCTTGAACTAACTTTACCCCCTAATTTAACTCTTCGATTCATCATTCTGTACTGTCACCTTATGCCTTATATTGAGACCTGGCACAGGGATACTAATAATTGCAAATATGGTCCCTGCTGTCAGGTCAGTGGCTTGGTTCAGAGCCCCTGCCCCTCCATTCTCTGCAGATGATAATGTGTCAATGTTTATCACTTTTATGTCGATATCTGGGGTTGTGAAACCATAGGCATATACCCCAATGGAGAAGCCTGGAAACAGGCAGATACTCATATCTCAGCATGGTAGAAAGGCAGAGAAAAGACAGAACTGACCATCTGGAATGCAACCCACCCTCAATATCTCATGGGAAAAACCAGGGGTCTTCTCTTCTGCAGTATAGGCCAGATGCCCCAAGTTGATTATCTTACTCTAAGAGCTCAACCAATAGCCCTATTTCCCATCCTTGATGCCTCAGTGACCGCTACCTCACAACCTCATATATACTCACACAAAAACCAGCCGCTCAGGCACATTTTGTCATGCAACCGGAAGGAGGAATGAAATCCGTACACACATTGGAGAAAACTGGCCTCCAGGTGACAGCGGTAAAAGCAATTTTCAAAGCATACACATCTGACAGGACCTAACTAGATTTAGCTTGAGGGAGTTTTTTCTAAACTGCTCTTTGTTAAAAAATTTCTTAAACTGCTTTCTCTCTATACTAAAGGCAACAATAGTCACCTAATGCCATGGCTACCCTTCTTGGGTGGCTAGTATGGTGACCACTGATGTGCAGATTCAAGTGGTCAACTGGGTGATAGCTGATGCTAGCTGTAGGACTTGGTAATGTCTGTGGACTTAAAATTGAGAAGGGGCCCAATGATTTATTTTTCTCTCCCTCTTTACCTCTCTCTCATTCCCTATGGAGCCGCAACCATGCTGTTCCTTCCCCTGCTTCCTCTGCTTCTCATCATTTAATGGTGTAGGGGAGGGAGAGAGTTGACATTTGTATTTTCCCTAGTATGTCCATTGTTGTTGCAACACTGTAGGAACAGATTTTAACCTGTGAGCTTTATGGATGTGTCATAGGTACCAAGACATAAACATCTTCAGAGAGAATCTTAAACGAAGTCTAGCCTTGCTCTGCTGCTGAAGAAGGTTTCTGCGGAGTTTTGTGAGGCAGCACAAAGATGTCCCAGAGAACCCTTTGCTCTAGGGCAGGACTTTATCCAGGCCTTTACACACTTCTAACTACCCCTGGAGATGATAGACCTCCTCATATGCTGGGAATTTACAGTGTGGCCTGTCCCTTCTGCCATTGTCCACTGAGAAATGATCGGGCCTCCCAAGTAGGGCCTAAGAATTAGCCTTCCTCACTCTCACCTGCCATTTGTTCTGTTACCAACCAACTTCTCTGACAATTTGGTTATGTTTATCTCAATGCTGAGACAAAACACTCAAAGCCCAAAATGGAGGAAAGAAAAGATTAGTTAACTTACAGTTTGTGGGGATTTCAGTCCATACTTGGGTGGCTCCAAGGCAGAAGATAACAAAGCACCAAGAGCAAAGGGGGGATGGCAGTGCATGCAAGCCTCTTTCCCTCCCTTATATTGTAGGAAGGCTAACCCTCCACCCAGGTGGGGGCACTCACATCCTTAACCTTCTAAACTTCTCACACTGACACAATGAACAACATCTGAGAGCAGGAAGGGCATGTCCTTTGCACCCCAGGATGGAGAACTGCTGAGTCACTTAGCTGATCCTCTAGACTCTCTAAGTTCACACAGTGTATCAAGCATAACAATCCACCCCTTGTCACCTTAGCAACCAGACACATTTCTTTAAACCAGTTTCCAGATACACTGACATTATATTACGTTAGAATCATAACATTCCCGCACCCTAAAGATTCATGCTCTTCTCTTTATGCAAACAGCATTTAGTCCATCTTCAAGAGTTGCCAAAGGCCTAACAGTTTCAGCATTGCTGAAGAGTCCAAATCCCAAGTCTCCTCCGAGATGTAAGACAAGCTCTTTGCTGTGACCCCTGTAAAAATGAAAAGTTAAACACTTCCAACATTCAATGGCACAAAATAAGCAGTACCATTACAAAATGTACAAACAGGAGGATACAGAGCACTGGGACCAAAGCAAGTACAAAATCCAGCAGGGTTAATGTTACATCCTGTAGTTCCATGTCTAGCATCTAAAGCAATCTGTGGCACATGATGAACTCCAAAGGGCTTGCATGAGTCCACCCCTATGGTACTTCTGGTGGTTACAGCTTCCACACTTTGTCTCTTGGGCCTGCTTTGCTCCCACCTTGCAGCTTTCCTTAGATGATCCATGGTCCTGGCTTTTCTAAACTTCTGAGGTCTCCAGTGCACCTTTTGCTTCACACTCACAACTTCACACACTGCCCTCTCAGGGGCACTCTGCCTGGCCTCCCAGCCTTTCCAAAATCTAGTTGGAAGCCTCTTGAACCTCAGAACTGTTGCATTCTCCATGTACCTAAATCCAGGGCCACATGGATGATACCATGGTCTGCTGCCACCTGGAGCAATAAAGGAGCAATAGAACAGTAAAGCCAAGCTGTCCTCTCTCATAGCCATATGAGTTGAGTGGCTGGATCACTGGGCACTCTGACTTCAATTCTGAGGAACAAATTTTCTATGCTGCCACCATTCTCAAACCTGGTGCGGCTGCCGCTATCATTCTGGAACATGGAGCTCTATGGCTTCCTTCTCAAGGCAGTCTTTCGCCTTTGTAGTTTTGAAGCTGCAAAGGATAGAGACTTGATGCTTGTGGTGCCCTCAGGCCATCTTTTCATTTCTGTTGTTCCTTCTCAGCAATAGAGATCTCCTCAGTCTTGCCTTTGCAGTCCACAGCTTTACTGGAGCTTCCTTTCTGGGCATATTCACGACATTGGAAATCATCCTGCTGGGCCCTTTGTTCTTGATTCTCAATATAACTCTGGCTAAAAGGCCCCATCAATAGCCATGCCACTTCCCCAACATTCAACCACCTTGAAATTTCTTTGGTGAGATTAATCAGGCTGCTGCTGCCCTTAATTTCAGTCTCAGGCAAAGTCTCTGGACATGAGCAAAATGCACACAAACTTTCTGCCAAGCCACAGCACACATCGTCTGGAGGCCAACAACCAATGAACTCCTTCTTCCCAACAGAAACCTCCCAAACCCGGTCTTTACCAGCAGGATTTCTATCAGCTGTCTGATCTTGAGTCCCGAGGGAATCTCCTAAGAGAACAGCCAAAGACATTCAAACTCTCCTCTTTCAGGCAACATCTCCGAACCTTTCCAAACACTTCCCACAAGCCATTTCCAAAGTCTCTTTACCCACATGCTCAAGTATAGTTGCAGCAATGTGTTCATTCCCTGGTACCAAATTCTGTCCTGGTTACTTTCTCTCATTGCTAAGACAAAACACCCAATGCCCAAAATGAAGGAAGGAAAGGTTTATTTAGCTTACAGTTTGTGGAGCTTTCAGTCCATACTTGGGTGGTGCCAAAGCAGAAGATAACAAAGCAACAAGAGCAAAGAGGAAATTGGCAGTGTGTGCAAGCCTCTTTCCCTCCCTTACATGGTAAGAAGGCATGCCTAACCCAGGGGGTGGCACTCACATACTTAAATTCAAAACTTCTCACACTGAAACAATGAATAACATCCTAGAGCAGGAAGGGCGTATCCTTTGCACTCCAGGATGTAGAATTGCTGAGTCACTTAGCCAAACCTCTACACTCCCCACTTTGAAAAGTGTATCAACCATAACAGGTCCACAACCAGAAGAGAGATTGGGGCCTCTATAGGAAACAATGAGCCAGAGGGCCTCTCTTCTTGTGGTCTGCCTTACAACTTCTTGATTCAGCATCTTCAGAACAATTCAAAGAGTAAGCCCAGAAACACAGTCTATTGTTGGATGGCCACAGCATGTCACGGTTCCCTACTGCACATAAGCCAAGGATATCCCCTCGTGCACTTTGGAATAAGATTTTCACAGCCTCTTAACCCCTTTAAGGAAAGGGTTTTCTGGGAATTCTCTGCTTTTGAGATGTGGTGCAGGCATCATTACTGGGGACAGAAAGTTGGGCTACTACAGCTTTGGTTTAATCACCAGGGGGAAAGTCCCAAACAATGAAGCTGGCTCAGAGCCCAGAAGTGGAATAGTGTGCACAAGCCAGGGCAGTACAAAGGGGAAACAGGATGGGAGTTTGGGGCACACTGGGTCCTCCAGTGAGATGGAGGATTCTCTGTCTCTTTAAGGACGCTGGGAACTTTTTATAACCAGTGATGTAACTGGACCTTCACACTCATTATTTCTCTCCCTCCTTTCTCCAGAGAGGACCTGGCCCCTCAACAACTCCATCACTCTCATGCCCCGGGACACTTCCATAAATAGTAGAAAGAGTTAGACTCCCAAAGTTCGAGGAAGAGGCCCTAATCATTTAAGGAAGTAGAGGAAGAGATTCCTGGACAGGGCACCATCTAGAGAACCAAGAGAGGTGGCCAAAGGCAAATGCCTAACTTGCAATACCATACACCAATTGGACTCATTTTGCAAAAGAGAGAACAGGGTGAAGTATCTCACAGCCAGTATTGTTTACTCTGAAAAATCACCCAAGTCAGTGTCTGAATGTTGAATTGATCATTTACAGGTGGATGCTTCATGACCAAACCCTTCCCCTCCGCACTCCCCTTGGAGAGAGATTCAAAGTTGGAGTTTTGAACAGAGAAAAAACAAAACCCAGAGAGGCCCCTAAGTTGGAGTCAGGCCCAATTCCCTTGCAGCTAACTAGAAGCCCTTCTACACCAGTCTGAGACAGGAACTCAGAGAATTCCTTTTCACCTTGCTGTATTGAAGAGAAAGTGAACAAGATGTGGGGCACTTCACTGATGATCCTGAAGCATACATTCAGGCTGTGGAGAGAGTCAGCTCTCTCTCTAAAGTTCCTTGGGTAATTAGAGTGGTCCTACCTCAGTGAGACTCTGCACTCAAGAGAAAGGAAGAGTTTCATGGGCTGCAGTGAGAATAGTCAATGTCTCTTATGAGAGCAATAGAAATACAAAAACTGAAGCAGGCAAAGAGAGAGAGGAAGTTGCCGGGGTATGGGGGTGCATGCCTGTAATCCCAGGACTCAAGAGGCTGAGGCAGGGAGGTCACTGGGAGTTCGAGGCCAGTCTGGAGTATAAAGTGAGTTCATTGCCAGCCTGAACTACATATTGAAACCTGCCTCAAAAAGACAAAAAATAAAGACAGAGATGGCCTTTATGCCCATGTAGGATTCTGCAGGTCTTGCTGGAATTATCAAACACTCGTTGAAAAATGGGACAATTTACACTTTCTTTCTTGCACTAAGCAGGGACTAAAAGCAGCATGAGTCAAACCGGTAAATCATGTAAAACTGAGACATATTTATAAGAAAGAAAAATGAATCCCACTCCAAATTTTGACAAAGGCTCAAGGATGGCATGGGCAATACATCGAAGAGTACACTCTGATTTAAATAAAATAATCTTCTGTTTGTCTGTCTGTTCAATCTGAGTGTTTAAAGCACCTACACTTTCATTGCTAAAATATTTTGATTGCATTTCAACTTTTGTTTTCCTTTTATTCTTCCCTGCCTCTTTTGGCATCCCAGATAAATAAAGTTATGTAAGTTTTTCTGGAAGTAGCTAAGGCCACTTCAAAAAAGTTTACAAGATGAGCGTTAAAAGACTCAAAACTGACATGGGATTCACATTATCCCTGTCTGACAAACTTTCCATTCAGGTTGTCAGACAATGAAAATTATACCTAAAATCAGTTTATAAAAACAATTCTGGGCTGGGGATTTAGCTCAGCGGCAAAGTGCCTGCCTGACAAGCGCAAGGTCATGAGTTCGGTTCCTGGTACAGGGGAAAAACAAAAACAAAATAAAAACTTCTTATTGTCTATACAATACTAAAAGAGTTTTTCATTAGTCAAAAATGATGTGTTAACTGTCATGATCTGTAGTCATCTGGAAGAATTCTTAACATTACTAAGTGGGCACCCCATGACTTATGGAACTGTTGAAGAAAGCTTCCCTCTGTGCCTAAGGAAAACAGTTACCTGGGCCACATTAATTCAGTTTCTCCCACTGATTGGTAACCTGCCACATTTTTCTAAGATCTTATGGTTCCACACCCCACCAGTTACTGACATATTTGGGTATAATCTTATGGTTCCACACCCCACCAGTTACTGACATATTTGGGTATAATCAAAAGGTTAAGGGTTTTATGTCTGAAACAATGAAGTTTTCTGGATGTGGCTCCTTCCCCAATCTATTTTTCCATTCTAGTGCTAATGCCTTGGTCATACATATTTAATCTCTTTTCTTGGTATAAGGAATCAAACTCAGGACCTTAGCACTGTGACAATGAGCTATCTCCCTGGCCATATTTTAATCTCTTGGTAAAGTTTGTTTACTTTAACTGGAGGATACCAAAGCCCAACTGATCACTCAGATGGAACCAACAGTAAATGTTCCAGACTCCAGTAGATCAACCTTCAGAAGGAAGTTTGTAACTGCTAAACCTCAACACGACTTCTGTCCGAGATTCCTTAGATTAGCCCCTGCTGTACCTCCTAGGCACTAACCCTTCTTACCTCTAAGAAGCTTTATCTATCATTTCCTCAACAGTAGTTGGATAGATGTCTCTGTGGTAGGAAATGTAAGGGTGAGGGCCTGTAGGCAAAGAAGGAGTAGAATAAAGACCTTATAAAGTTTTCTGACTAATCTAGAGTAGAAAGTGTTAAAACTATTAGAGTGCTTCTCAGAGAAAGGCAACTAAAACTTCGGGATTATACATATATTTTTGTACTATTCTATTCATCTTTCTCTTTTTCCTCAACTATCTCTCTTGATATTATGATATTTTCAGGTGAGTGAAGCTTCAATAATCTCTAGCTCTCTCCTTCATTTTTTCTTTCCTGCCCTCTTTTCCAATTTCTCAAGGCTTGTGTGATCATCCTTTGGCCTCCAGACTTGCTTTGACTATATTTCTATTCATTTTGCTCTCTTTTATCACCTCTTCCTCTTAAATTTCCCCATCACCAGGTAAAAATCACTCTATTAGGGAGAAAATCATTGCATAGAAATCCCTGTTCCATGTTTCCAATTTTTATGTAGCTGCAGATCTTGCCCATGTAGTTAAAGCAACCAAATTAAGACTTACCACAATATGTCCGTTTTTCAAGTTCTTTGAGACAGGGTCTGCTCTATAATGTAGTCTGGTCTTCAACTCACTATGTAACCCATGCTGGCCTCAAACTCAAGGAAATCCTCCTGCCTCGGCCTGCCAGATGCTGGAATTACAGGCATGTGCCACCACACGTAGCAGTTTCTCAGATTCTAGGCTGTGCTTAATGCCATACTTATTGGTAATTATACTACTTAAGTTAGGATGTCCTAACTGTTGTAATCTCACTTCTCTGACAATAGTATGATTGCCTGGGGTCCTAACCTTCCCCAAAGTCCAGTTCCAGAAGACTGTGTTTTGAGTCAAATAAGACAGCAATATCTCATCATTAATAAATTGGAAGGTAGACTGAGATCTCACAGCATGGGAAGTAGAAAGGATGAGAGGCTCCACACAGTAGGACCATTGACCAGAGAACAGAAAGATTCCCCCAGGCTGGCTGTGTAGCACAGTAGTGCTGCACTTGCAGGGGTGAGGACCTCGCCATCATCACCAGCACCACAAAAAGAAAAGAACACAAGAACATGCTGCCTCCCCCAGGTACCCTACACTGCAGGAAGAAGGGCACTGTTGTGGAAACAGTTCCTGATACAGATTTGTTTTTTCAAAAGAAATATCAAATTTCAGGGAGCTTCAGTGAGCTGCTCAGGAGTGAAGAAAATCCACTGCTATACCCCCCAGACCATCATTTTTGCTGAAGGAATGTGAGCCTCAGAGAGACTCAGGAACTTCACTGAGCTGCTTGCTAGGGGAGATCCTCAACCCCTCACTGCCCCCACCATTGTGGAAGCAACAGTGAGCCTCAAGACCCACAGTTAGCCATATGGGAAGGAAGAAACCCCACACAATAACTCTCTGCCATGCAGGCAGTCTCGGTCTGGAAGAACACTGATGCTTGCTCCATACTTCCACTCTGTGGCTTGGGCACCCAGCACAGAAGGTCCCTGAACCATGGCAACCATCTTGTCAGGAAGAACTAAAAAGAAATCCACTCTAACAAGGGAAAACTCTTTACA